GAGAAAAAGGAACCCTCCTACACTGTTGATGGGAATGTAAATTGGTGCAGCCACTATGAAGAACAGTATGGAGGTTCCTTAAAAAACTAAAAATAGAGCTACCCTATGATCCCAGCAATCCCACTCCTGGGCATATATCCAGGGAAAACTCTAATTCAAAAAGATACATGCACCCCAGTGTTCATTGTAGCACTATTTACAGTAGCCAAGGCATGGAAGCAACCTAAGTGTCCATCAACAGATGAATGGATAAAGAAGATGTGTATATATACAATGGAATATTACTCAGCTATAAAAAAAGAATGAAATAATGCCTTTTGCAGCAACATGGATAGACCTAGAGATTATCATACTAAGTGAAGTAAGCCAGACAAAGACAAATATATGATATTGCTTATATATAGAATCTAAAAATTTTAAATGATACAAATGTACATATATACAAAACAGAAATAAATCCACAGACATAGAAAGCAAACTTATGGTTACCAAAGGGTAAAGATGGGGGAGGGATAAATTAGGAGTTTGGGATTAACATATATACACTACTGTATATAAAATAGATAACCAACAAGGACCTACTGTATAGCACAGGGAACTATACACTCAATATTTTGTAATAACCTATAATAGAAAAGAATCTAAAAAAGTATATATATACATATAAAACTGAATCACTTTGCTGTACACCTGAAACTAATACAGCATTGTAAGTCAACTATACTTCAGTAAAAATATATGTATACAATGTCTTTATTTTAACCATTTTTGACTTAAAGTCTGTTTTGTCTGGTGTTAGTATAGCTACCTCAGCTCTTTTATCTGTAGAATATCTTTTTCCATCCTTTTAACCTGTTTATGTCTGTGAATCTAAAGTGAGTCTCTGTACAGCACATATAATTGGATCAATTTTTAATCCATTTTTCCAATCTCTACCTTTTAATCAGTGAGTTTTAATTCATTTAAATGTAAAGTGAATACAGAAAGACTTCTGTCATTGTCCTATTTGTTTTCTGTCTTATTTTTTCTTTTTGTTCCTCAATTATATTATTGCCTTCTTTTGTTTAATAGATTACCTTTTCTGGTTGAATGTTTTGATTCCCCCTTCATTTCTTTTTTTGCATATTATTTAGTCATTTTCTTATAGTGACTATGCTGACCATTGCATTTAACACCCTAACTTGATACAATCTAGGTTGAACTGATACAGTTTACTGTCAGTAGCAATAAAAACTGCTCCTATACAAATCCATTCCCTCCCTTTAGTGTTATTGTCACAAATTACATCTTTATATATTGTGTGCTTATTAACATAGATTTATAATTGTTTTGTGCATTTGTCTTTTAAGTCATATGTGGGGAGGAGTAGAGTTACAAAACAAAATTACAATAAAGTTGGGTTTTACATTTACCTATGTAGTTATCTTTACTGGTGTTCTTTATTTCTTCATAAGGCTTCAAGATAGTGTCTAGTATCCTTTCATTTCAACCTGGAAGACTCCCTTTAAAAACATTTCTTATAGGACAGGTTAACTAGTAGCAGACTCTCAGCTTTTCTTTACTTGGGGATCTCTTAATTTCTTCTTCATTTTTGAAGAACAATTTTGCCAGTTATAGAATTCTTAGTTGAGAGTTGTTTTCTTTCAGCACTTTATTAGTATTATTTTTTTGGCTTGCGCTGCACAGTGTGCAGGATCCTAGTTCCCCGACCAGGGATTGAACCCATGCCCCCTTCAGTGGAAGCATGAAACCTTAACCACTGGACTGCCAGGGAATTCCCTCAGCACTTTAAATGTCATTCCACTACATTCTGGCCTTAAAAGTTTCTGCTTAGAAATTGGCTGTTAATCTTATTGAGGATCCATTGTATGTGATGAGTTGCTTCTCTGTTGTTGCTTTCAATATTCTCTCTGTCTTTGTCTTTTAAAGTTTATTATAATGTGTCCTGGTGTGCATCTGAGTTCTTACTTGGAGTTCATTGAGCTTCTTGGATGTATAGATATATATATTCCATTAAATTTGGTCATTTTCAGCGATTATTTCTTTAAATATTCTTTCTGCCCCTTTCTATCCTTTCCTGGGACTCCTGTAATGTGTATGTTGGTCTACTTTATGGTGTCCCAGAAGCCCCTTAGGTTCCATTCACTACTTCTTTCTGTTCCTCATACTTGATAATTTCAGTTGTCCTATCTTTGAGTTCGCCAGTTCTTCTGCCTGCTCAGATCTGTTGTTGAACCTCTCTAGCGCATTTTTAGTTTCAGCTTTTGTACGTTTCAGTGCCAGAATTTACATTTGGTTCTTTTTTCTTTCTTTTTATTAATATATTCTATTTGTTAAGGTATCATACTCCTGGTTTCCTTTCGTTCTTTGTCCTTGGTTTCCTTTAGCTGTTTGAGCATGTTTAAGACATTTAAAGTCTTTGTTTTGTAAAACCAATGTCTGGGTTTCCCCAGTGAGGTTTTCTGTTGTTTTCTTTATTCCCTGTAAGTGGGCCATACTTTTCCTGTTTTTTTTTTTTTTACATGCTTTGTAATTTTTTGTTGTGAACTGGACATATTGAACACTAATGTTGTGACTCTGGAAATCAGAATTCCCTCCTTGTAGAGTTTGCAAGCAACAGCTTGTTGTGGGCTTCAGTCATCCGTTTGTTTAGTGACTTTTTGGAACTATTCTTATGAAGTCTGTATTCCTTGTGTATGTTCATTTAAGTCCCCTTTCCATTATCTCAGCAGTCAGCCAGTGACAGACATCTCCTTAAATGCCACAATTTAGCACCCTCTTTCTTCATTGAACGTTTCCTGGCTTGTTGTAAGTTTTTTCTTAGATTTCAGAGTTCCAAAAATGTTTTTCCTGATAGTTTTGTGTGCTTAATGGTTAGTTACTTCAATGGAAGGGCAGCTTCTTAGAGCTCCCTCTTCTGCCATTTTTGGTGACATCAGTTGGATTCTTTTTTATGGAACATGATTCCTATATTACCAGTTATTTATTGAAAGGTAAATTTTTTATAAATGGAACACTCTATATATTGATGGTAATTCAGTAAAGCTAAATTTATCCTTTATTTATTAGTTTTGGCATGATTATATGGTATTATGTAAAGCCTAAACATCTTAATTTAGAAGCAGAAATCATTACTTTTATAATTCTCCCAGGATTTCTCATACTTGCATCCCATACTTGTCTCATTTTAAAACTACTCTGATTTGGTATGTCATCTATAAAAAGACTAGGTCCATCTGAAACAGCAAGAGAAAATGCACCAAAACTTGCTCTGCTTCCTTTTAAAATCTATCTTATATGATAATTTTAAAGCAGGATTTCTCAGCCTCAACACTAGACCAGAGAAATCTTTCCCGTATCTGTTGTCCTGAACATTGTAGGATGTTTAGCAGTATCCCTGGTCTCTACCCACCAGATGTCAGTAGCATCCCTCCCCCAGTTATGACAACAAAAAAATGCTGAATATCCCCGAGGGGCCAAAACTGTCCCTGATTGAGAACCACTGTTTTAAGGTAAAATTTGTGCCAAGACCATGTACTTCACAAGGAACGACAACCCTTTTTTCCCCTCGTTTTACAAATTAGTCAATTAAGATCAGGAAGCTAGAATCATCTAGTTGGGCAGTTCTCTTGGCCATTAAGGAAAGAAAATGGTGGAAAAGCTCTTTTCTCATTCGCTGTTAGTACTACAGCTTCTTTTGGTTAAATGTGTTGTTTCATTCCCAAATTTATCTGATAGTTCACTGTATCTGAGATGCACAACAATAGTTATTTCTTGCCTGGAATACCCAGACGATTCAATAGAACCGTGATTCCTTTATATAAGAAATTAAGATTGTAAAATCAGGTCAGTTAGTTTTTGTTTGTTTACACTTCTTTATCTTTTTCTCTAAAGGAACATGAGATGATTGTATCAAAAATAATTATTGAATATTTTGATGATAAAATTTCAGTGATGTTTTATTATACTCCTGTATCTTTAAAAAACTTTTTTCCTGAAATTTATTTTTAGGTGTACTTTCTATAGCGTATTTAAGCTCCAAAAGAAGATTAGTAGTACTAGTTTCATATGATATTTTCTTCTGTGTCATGAAGATTTGTGTTACCACATACAGTTTTATGTTATTAAGTATGTGTGGGTCTTGCTCCCAATCAAGTTTAAAACTCTTGAAGATTCTGTGTTAAGGTTTTATATCCCTGCTCTCTTTTCCAAATAGCCATTTCATAAATAGTTCACTGAGTTGTCCCTTAATCACTTAATTTAGGGAAGGCATCTAGTCTGAAAATATAATTCAAAATACTTTGCTCCAATTCAGTATTTTATAATAACCTATAATGGAAAGGAATCTGGAAAAAACAAAAATACACATCTATATACATATATATGTGTATACACATACATATAACCGAATCACTTAGCTATACACCTGAAACTAACACAGTATTGTAAATCAACTTCAATTAAAAAAAAAATACTTTGCTCTTATAGAGATATTGAGTGGGGGGGGGAGGGGAGTACTGATCATCTAGATTTTAGATGAGTAAAAATATTTCAGTAACAAATTATTATACCCAGGACCACTAAGAAGTAACTTTGATTTCTAGTTTGCTGTAGAACAGATTAACAAGCAAAATACTGCATTTGAAACTAATCAACTTTGAGTACAATTTGTCATGCTGTAGTTTCTGAAAAGTCTTTTCTGTAGTCCTAACTGCTTTTGCACATCTTATACTACAATGTATTTTTAAACCTTAATAATACTTGACTTGTAATATTCAAATTAAACTGGAGGTATAGATGATAATTATAGGTGACTTTGAAGATAATTGGTTCACGAATTACATAATTAATGATCAATACCTGTTGATTAATAATCCTAATAAAGCTTACTGGAATAGGGTTCAACCCATTTGGAATTTGTGGTTCACAAGTTATTTGTATGTAGGAAGTCATTTGTAGTTGGTACAGAATCATTGCTTCAATTTTGTTTCTGTTTTTAGCTGTTGCGCCAGTTGTACCTGATTTAAGTAGTGACATTGACACAAGTAACTTTGATGACTTGGAAGAAGATAAAGGAGATGAAGAAACATTCCCTATACCTAAAGCTTTTGTTGGCAATCAGCTACCCTTTGTAGGGTTTACATATTATAGCAATCGTAGGTAAGTATGCTACACATTGATATTTGGGGTAAGTACTGACTTTGTTGTAGTCATGTTATTTTCTTAGGGATATCTAAAAATCACTTTAAGAACATTTAAAGTAGATTTGGCCTTCCCTGGTGGCGCAGTGGTTGGGAGTCTGCCTGCCGATGCAGGGGACACGGGTTCGTGCCCCAGTCCGGGAAGATCCCACATGCCACGGAGCGGCTGGGCCCGTGAGCCATGGCCGCTGAGCCTGTGCGTCCGGAGCCTGTGCTCCACAACAGGAGAGACCACAACAGTGAGAGGCCCGCGTACTGCAAAAAGTAAATAAATAAATAAGAAATAAAGTAGATTTAATGGTATATAAAGAGATATATTAATATGCCACTTTTCAACAATGCATTAGATTTCTCATTTCATATTTAATATCTTTCAGACTCATCCATGCTCAGGATATTGTTTTTCAGAAATTCTTTGCTGAATGATACCCTATATATCTTCAAGTTACAACAATTAATAGGTCAAGAAATTCTCTTACTACTGATATTTTGGTTAATCGTGTTATCCGAAGAGTTCTGGTTTTATAATACATTTTGGAACAACATACAGTTTTCTAGCATTATCATCACTATATTGATGTTACGAAAGGCCTATAATTTTCAGTTCTTCAAAAATTAAGTGATTCCTCCCTAAAACTACTAAATGAATTATGTTTTACTTCATGTAAGACCTTGTGATCTTGGGCAAATAACTTTCATCTTTTTATGCCTCCATTTCCTCAAAAATAGGGATGACGGGGATAATAATAACAATACGTGTCTCAGGGTTGTTATAAGGGTTAAGTAAATCAAAACACAGTAAAACACTTAGAACAATGCTTTGCATGGAGTAAGCACTCAATGTTAGTTACTTTTATCATTAGTATGAGCTAATATTAGTTTTAGTCTTTTCTCATGGACTTCAGATACAAGTTAAACATTTAACATTATTTTCATATGCTGGACATTCATTCATTCATTCAACAGACATGTTTGACAACCTACTCTTTGTCAGGTATATACTAAGCACCAAGGTGCAGGGAGAAGGATTAATAAGATATAATTATCTTCTTTTGAGATGCTCATATCCTAGTGAGGAAATGGATAAGTTGTACAGTGTGGGTTGGCAAGTACTACACGACAGAACTCTAAACAAAATACCATACCAATATATAAAAGTGAACTATATGCACCATTAACTGGGTATGTTAAATCTGCTTGATAAATTTATTTTAAAATATGTATCTCTAATCAAATAATACTCCATTAGAATGGTATTAGATATTTGAATTGCTTGCAGTAATGATTAAATTTGAGGTTATTATAGCTAACCTTTTAAAGTGAAGCATCTTGTTATTTTAGTCAAAATTTTTTTTGAGGGTAATTCAGTTCAAGTTTAGAAAACAGGAATTCAATGTAGTCTTGCTTTATGAAATTTCTCCAATAATCCAACTGTAAGACAATAATTTTGTTCTTTAGATGTTAGAATACTTTTGTTGTATCACCAAGTAGGTAGTACTTGAGTTTTGACCCCTAGAAAAGAGCAATATTTTAATCCTTCTTCCCTCCCTAATACTCCATGAGTATTATATTGGAGCTTTTTTTTTTTTTTTGCGGTACGCGGGCCTCTCACTGCTGTGGCCTCTCCCATTGCGGAGCACAGGCTCGGGACGCGCAGGCTTAGCGGCCATGGCTCACGGGCCCAGGCGCTCCACAGCATGTGGGATCTTCCCGGACTGGGGCATGAACCCGTGTCCCCTGCATCGGCAGGTGGACTCTCAACCACTGCGCCACCAGGGAAGCCCTGGAGCTATTTTATATTGAAATACACAGAGAACCTTCAAAGTGGTGTGTTTGCTGCATCATCCTTTCTTTTTTTTCTTCTTCTTTTAAAAAAAATTATATATATATATATATTTAAGTTTTTAATTTAAAAAATTTTATTTTGGCTGCACTGGGTCTTAGTTGCAGCATGTGGGATCTTCATTGTGGCATGCAGGCTTCTTAGTTGCGGCATGCGAATTCTTAGTTGCGACATGCATGTGGGATCTAGTTCCCTGACCAGGGATCAAACCCTGGCCCCCTGCATTGGGAGCACGGAGTCTTACCCACTGGACCACCAGGGAAGTCACTAAATTTTATATTTTTATCAGTTATTCTCTGGCTTGGTTTCTGAAACACTCAAGATGTTGATATAAACACCCACCCACCCCCCCAGTGTTTCTGGATTTTCTGTAATAGAGTTCAGCAGTTAATTACTTTTTCTGCACAAAAGTAATTAATTTCTCTGCACAAAGGTACTCTTGAATTAAATAAGCATTATATATATATATATATATATATATTCATAATACTATTGATCCATTGTCATACACTAGATTATGTTCCATGAGTTTTCCTTGTATTCATGTGTTTCATATCCCAAGCTAATTTCTGAATTTCTTAAAAGTAGAAATTGTAGTCTGTTCTTAAATATCACCACCTTATTGAGTAATATAGTGTTTAGTAATTGTTTCTTACATGTTTGGTTGGAGGTATGTTTGCTCTTAATAAAGAAAGAATCAGCAAAATATTAATTAGCCTTACTGTAATATGTAAGTATAATTTTGAATTGCATGAAATTAAAGACTTCTGAAATTCTTACTTCTGAAATCCAAACATACAAGGACAGAGATCTTTACTGTTGACGTATAGCTGAATTATAAACATTTTAAAAACAGCCTTAATCTTTTAGCTATATTCCTAATAATCTAACACCTCTTTCATAAAAAGTTTACCTAAATGACCAGATTCTATATAAAAGCAACAATATAATATGAAAAAGAACCTTGAAATGAAAAAAAGATAAGAAGTGGAAGAATGAATGGATGTGTACATTGGTATCCTTACATTTCCAGGACTGTATTCAGAGAACTTTATGTTACTAACTTTGCAGAAGGCTAAACATCAACTTTACTTATATAGCATATTATATTTAGAAGATAAATTAGAGATCAAGTAGTCTGATCTGTCTAATTCAGATTCTACTGGTGTAGAATCTGTATGCTTTTATTTATATCACATAATGCAGAATCTCACACTGAATTTCTGAGGCACTTTATAGTCAATGGAATTAAATTGCACTATATCTAGAAGTTGTCATTTGTTATATGGGACCTTTTCTTTACAAACCTGCTACATAGCCCTTGTTATTGTCTCCTGAATATTTGATTCTGTGGTTGATCTGAATAATTTTCCAAGAGAAACATGGGAAATGACATATTTTCCTGCTGTTTCTTTTAGAGCACTGCTATATATGTTTCATGGTACTTAAAGTACACTTGATTATCTTCTGTTTTTCACTATAAATTAATTATTTCTAGTGTGTTAACAACTGCCTCAAACAGCTGTGAAGTATACTGTAGCTATTTGATCTCTTTTTGAGGGAGCTCTACTGGTTAACCAAGGTGGTAACTGTAGTGGTGGCGTAGATGTAGTAATAGTGTTAGTCATAGGATGGTAAAGGAAGTAGCAGAAGTATCTTACCTTTACCTAACATTTGATTGTGTAGAAAAAATTTTTATATGATCTGTTTATATCTGTTTGGTAATCTGATAAGATGTCTAAAGAAGACCTCTAAAGATCACTGATATCTTGTATTTGTATGTAATTCTAACTTTATATTGAATTTAACAAACTCTGCAAGGCTTAGAGTCACAGAAGATTAGCAGGACATCTTCAGAACTTTGGTTCTGTTATTTCAGCCACTTACACAAAAACTCTTAACTTTTTTGCCCAGAAAAGCAATATAATTCTTTTTGGCCATCCCGCACAGCTTACGGGACCTCAGTTCCCCAACCAGGGGTTGAACCTGGGCCACGGCAGTGAAAGCGCTGAATCCTAACCACTGGACTGCCAGGGAACTCCCCGGCAATATCATTCTTGACTGAAGGATAATTGGGGGCAGTGGGGAGGAATTGTGCACGTGTCTGTAGAAGTCAACAATTCCTTATTCCTGATTCTAAATCCAAAAGCTCTAAAAACTAAAAGTTTTTTAGTGATTTGTTTGGTGGCAAAACCTGCCATAACCTGCTCTCATGGCCAAAAACCTAATCTGAACTAAGTTGAGACTATTTTATGGTTTTTATTTATTCTCTTTGGCATGAATATTCATATATTTTGCTGCAGGAATATTAAGGTATATGATTACAGAGTGCTGCTTCAGACCTAACTGGGGGTTTTATTTAATATATGTATCATTTCTGTGTTATGTTTCTAAAATAAAGAATTAAGAACCTGCACTCAATTTTTAAGAGCAGAGCAAGTACAAAAGATAGGCATATAGTATTTGTTACTGGTTGTTACTAGATATTAAAGAGTTTTTTGTTTTCTTTTTAAAACTATTTTCTTCCTAGATACTTATCTTCAGCAAATCCTAATGAAAACAGAACTAGCTCTAATGTGGATAAAAGCTTGGTAGGTATTTTCTTATTGTTATTATTTTAAAAGTTGTTTTGTGGATAATGTATTTTGTATGCATGATACTAAGTAAATATGCATTGCTTCAGAAAATGTAGTTAGTGATTTTAAATTTTTATAGCACTTTTTATCTACTGTTTCCTCTCCTGTTTGATTTCTTTCCTGAATATCAAATGGGATATTATATGTGGAGGCAGTTAGTAAACTATACATTGCTACACAGATTGACAGAGGTGGTCTTTTTAATCTTTGGAATTAAGGAATTTATGATAAATCAGTGTATCAGTAAGAGTCTTGACAGGGAAACAGATGGCACATTCAAAAGATTTAAATGAGAGTTTTTTTGTGTGTGTGTGCTAAAATTTACATAACACAAAATTTACCATTTTACCATTTTTATGTGTACGGTTCAATGACATTAAGCACCCTCACGTTGTTGTGCAGTCATCACCACCATCATCTCCAGAACTTTTTCTTCATCCCAGACTAAAATTTTGTGCCCATTAAAGCCTGCATTCCACTCTCCCTTCAACCCCTATTAACTATTATCCTTACTTTCTGTCTATATGAATTTGACTATTCTAGGTACCTCATGTAAGTGAAATCACACAGTATTTGACTTTTTGTGATTGGCTTATTTTTCTTAATGTCCTTAAGGCTCAGGCATGTTGTAGCATGTATCAGAATTGCATTCCTTTTTAAGGCTTAATATATTCTGTTATATGCATATACCACATTTTGTTTATTTATTAAGCGAAGAGAGTTTAATGAAGGGACTATTAATGGTGCTATGCGTAGGATCAAGGGGAGCAATAAATAAAGAGAGCTAAAGCAGCCATTGATTGACAGCAGTGGGAAGCCATTTCCCTTAGTCTGAAGGGGCAAGGAGAGACAAATCTTGTTACCACAGCTCAGAGAGAATGCATAGAATCATGAAAGAGGAGCATAGAACATAGAGCACTGCCAGAGCCCTGGTAAGGCAAGAAGAGTGTGGGGAGAATGGATATTTCATTTCTCCCAACTGACTTTCATCTGGTGTCTCCTGAATGCTGAAACCAAGCTTAAAATCATAGGACAGCAGAGCCCAGTTAATGTAGTCTGTAAATTTGAAGGCAAAGAAGGTCAGAGGATGGGTCTTCAAGGCTGGAAGGGAGAGATGGCAAATGGAGAATAACCAGTACAGTGAGCATCTTCTAATTTGACCACTGAAAAGTGAATTCCTGTAGGAAGTGAATATTAGAGACATGAGTTCTTTTTATTGTTAGAACAGCTCATGTTCATGAGATAGGATTAAAATTTTTTTTCCCCGCTTACATTGAGAAGGTCCTTTTGGGTTAACCAGGACTTTTCTTAAATATACCAGAAATAATTATCTGGCCATCCTTATTCTTTGAGCTCTTTGTGTTCTATAGCCTCCATATTTGTAACTGAGATGAGGTGTAGGCAGCAATCATTTTTAAAAGCTGACAGAATTCTTCTTTCTCCTTCATATATTTACTCTTAAATGTGAGAGAACATATGGTGGGAAGGGAAAGTGAGAAAAAGGGGAATGAACTATGCGAGTACTGGTTAGCTGTTATGGCCATTTTTCTCTTTTAAATTCTCATCCCAGTAGAGCTATTTGCCAAATTATATAGCTAATAGGGGCTCAGAAATCTTCAAAATTAAAGCACATTTGACCTGGAGATGGTGACAATAAGGAGCTGCTATAACCCCACTCTGACTGTATTACTTATCTGTAAGTTTAGAGCTACATTAGGACTTAAAAAATAATTCAGTGGAATCCTGTTTTCTTTGGGCTGATCTTGTTCAATGGTGACTGCCATAAGGTTCTGTCAGTGGCTTTTATCTTTTGCTCTGGTTAAGACACAGGGGAAGAAGAAAACGCTTGCGTGCCTACTATTTCTGTTAACCTAGAACTAAGTACAAAAATCAACTAATTTAATTTTCAACTCTTCCCTGAAAGCCTTCTAGCAGAGATGCTAGTGAACAACTTTGCAGTTGCCAAATATGATGAATATTTTTCATTCCGTATCTTATTTTTCTTTTTGCTGCATTTGACACTGACCAGTCCTTCCTCCTTGGAACTTTAAGAACTTTCATGTTCTCATTATTTCCTTCTTTTTCTCTTTCTACCTCTGGATTTTATTTTCAGTCCTCTTTGCAGGATCTCCTCCCTTTCTCTCTCCCCCCAACCCCATAATTATTAAATGTTTCTCAAGATAGTTCTGATCTTGGCTCTCTGCTCATTTTCTGTAGTTAATCTCATTGTATCTAGCTTGCTCCTCTGAACTCCATACGCGAATCTTTTCTCTCTCTGCCTGGACTTCTCTTCCTGCCCATCTTTCAGACACTTGAACTTAGGCCAAAGCCTAACTCACACTTCTCCTCTCTCCATCCCCTCACCAGCAGGTCTTTTTGTGTCACCCATCTTTTGTAATGCTACTCTGTTCTTATTTCTAATCAGTTGCTGGGTTATAAATTCTGCCTTTTGACTGACACAGTTATCCATTTCCTCTTCATTTTTACAGCTTCTGCCTTATATCAGACCTATATACTCTTTTTGCCTGAACTGTCTATTAATTGGTCGTTTAGTCTAGAATTTCTCTGCTCTCTAATCTGTTCACCTTATTACCGAAGTGATGTTTCTAAAATGCCAATACTCTCATTTCCCCTTTTAAAGTGTTTATAGGTTAAAGTGCCCAACTCCTTTTCTGCATACAAGGATCATAGTCCTACTTGCCCTTTCAGATTTTATGTGATTCGCCCTGTTATGTTCTTTGCTCTGCCTAGACTTGATTTCTTCCCATTTTCCAATCATATTTTCTTTCTCTCTACTTTTGGACTCATTCATTTTAGCTAAAATGCATTCCTTCTTTCACTTCCTCTGCTTGGTAAATACCTCTCTTCTTACAGGTCTCATCTCAAACATTCCATCTTCAAGGCAGAATTAGATGTGACCTCTTCTCTTCTTCAGTACACCTTATATATAATTTTATTAGTATTATAATATTTTGTGTATATGTCTGGGTTATTGTAGGTTCTTTTCACCCTCCTATTCCCCTGTGCCCCACTATCGAACTATATTAGCTTTATGAGAACGGGGACCAAATCTTTTTAATTTTTGTGTTATTAATGCCTACCACAGCACCTGACATATTAGTAGGTGTTGGAAAAAAATGCTTGTTAAATGAATAATAAAGGGCTTCCCTGGTGGCACAGTGGTTGAGAGTCCGCCTGCTGATGCAGGGGACATGGGTTCGTGCCCTGGTCCGGGAAGATCCCACATGCCGCAGAGCGGCTGGGCCCATGAGCCATGGTCGCTGAGCCTGCGCATCCAGAGCCTGTGCTCCGCCACGGGAGAGGCCACAACAGTGAGAGACCCGCATACCACAAAAAAAAAAAAAAATTAATAACAAAAATTTCAGATAGAAAGGAAAAAGGTAAGATTGGATCAGATAATTCCCTTGTAAACAGGTATAAAATGGTAATATAAACTTGCTATTTTAAAATTCTCTATGAATATTCTTACTAGAATAAGTTTTTGTTGTTTTTAATTAAAGCAGGAAAATTTGCAAAAAACAATTTATAAGCTGGAAGAACAGTTGCATAATGAAATGCAATTAAAAGATGAAATGGAGCAGAAGTGCAGGTGAGAATATACTTTATGTTTTTCACATTAAAAGTTGTATAGCAAATGCTGATTTTAAAACTTGTACTCTATAAACCCTTGAAAGTAGATGGAAGTAAGGCAGAGATGTAAAGATTGCTATTGATATGCATTCAGTGAAGAATATTCACTTAATGCCTGGTTTATTGATTTTCTCTCCCATTTTAATGAGCTGACAGAAAGGGAAAATTAGTTTACATTAAATAAGAAGCGTTCTGAAATGTAGCTGTTTTTGAAGATTAAAATTCACTAAATTTTTGGTGCAGACACTCTTTTAATTTCTACTATGATTCACTATAGCAGTATTTTTTTCAGAATTTTTTTCCTATGAGTCTAAATTTAATAAGAGTGTATATATTTATGAAAATATAAAATGATCAAGATAATTTAAAATAACCTAGCATAATGCTTAGTTACTTATTAATTACAAACAATAACACTTTATTATATTGTTAGTAGATAGTATTGAATAAATGAAAAACAGGTAACAGATTAAGTATTCAAAAAAATGAAATTGAGAAAATTGGCAATTTTGTGAGTGGGGGAGAGAAAACAAGTAAACTGCTCACTACCTACAGTTCCTTATAGATTAAATAGCTAAGCATCTTATATAAGCTTTTTTTAGAAAAGCACTTTAAGGAAATAATTAACTGAGCCCAGTATTTGGAAGGAATTTCTAGGTATAAAACATAGAAATAAGGAGAGGAAATGGATAGATATTATTACATAAATGTTGAGCAGTTTCTACAGTTAAAATTAAAAGGCAAATGACAAATCAGTGGTAGTGGTGGTGGTAGGGATCAATTTAAGGAGGAAATAAGAGTGGCCAGAGTGGCCAATAATCATACAAAAATGGGTGTGTGTGTGGTGGGGGGGTGGCCTGAGATGAAATTCGGAAGGTCGACAGAATCTAGATCTTAAAACACTCTGTCTTTGAAAAGCTAAGAAATTTGGGATTCATCCTAAGGGTGATGAAAAAACATTAAAAGTTATTAAACTTAAAAGTAAAACAAAAGATCAAATTTGCTTTTAAAAAAAAACTCCCTGGTTAATTACATAGCATTTGACATTTATTCACCTAAATGAGAATGAGGGAGGAAGATGAGTCAAGGAGGATTCCCAGGTGGAGTGCTTTACTTTGGGACAGGAGAGGAGAAGCAGATTCGTATTGTGGGAGGGGTCGCCAGGCAGAGGGAATTAATTTAGCTTTGGACATGCTGAATGAGCTATTTGGTAAGACATCCATGTGAAACGTTGCATGTACACATTTGAAGCTCAGAAATAGGTTTAGAGCCCCAAAAATGAATTGTGATGGAGCTAATAATACACTTTCAGTTTATCTCAGATTTTTGCCCAAGTTGCCAAGTGGTGCATTTACTGCTTTATATATGCCACCTTTCCCTTCATTTACTTACTCATATTAAAGGTTAAATGGTTAATCTTTGTGTAGTAGCAAGTATTGCATGAGGGAATTCAGGGATCCTTAATCTAGAATCCATAGACCTCTCCTAAAGCATCCATGGATGGAATTCAAGGTCCGTAAACTTGGGTGACAGAAATGAATCTTTTCTGTAACCTTTAGCTGAAATTCAGCATTTTCTTTAATTATGAACACAGTGAATAATCCACAGTTATTAGCAGTAGCTGTGAATTTTTTATTACCAATAGAAATCACAAATATCTTAGAATGCAGTTGTTAATTTATCTCTAAATACCGTTTATGCTCATTACTACTTTAAAATTACTGCTGCTAGATCTTATTTAATATATTAATAAAATGCATATGTTAGTGAATCATACTTTTTTAAAAAGGTTATGACTGTATTTCAGTATAATTTTGGTTTCTTTTAATCCTATGTATTTTATTTTATGCTTTTAAAATATTATTCTGAGAAAATGCCATAGACTTCACCAGACTGACTGCCAAAGGGATCCACAGCACACACAAGAAACGTTAAGAAATCTTAGCTAAATGGAAAAGTAAGGAATGTGGTGTTTCACCCCAAGCTATAAAAAGTAAATATATCTGTAATCTGTATTGCTTTTGCTTTTACAGAACTTCAAACATAAAACTCGACAAGATAATGAAAGAATTGGATGAAGAGGTACTTTTTGTTTTCTAATCAGAAGTTTTCCTTTTTGAGACTTTTCCCTCTTTCAGATTGTTTTCTGAGAAAATTATATTTGAACTTTATAGGTTGCAATACAGAACAGGACCAAAGAACTATGATGAAAGCCTCACTTTGGAGCTGCAGGTTCAAGTGAAATTAGATTATACTTTAGTTTCTTTTGTGTGGTTTTATTCTAGTACCATGTTGAAAATTTAGTACATAAATTTCAGTTCAGTGGTTCTTAATAGTGGAAAGGTGAGAAAGGAGCAACAGATCAGAAATTGAATCTGGAACTGTAGCAGAAAGAGACAGACAAATTCAACTGTTAAGAACCACTGAACTGAAATTTATGTACTAAAATTTCAACATGGTTCTAGAATATGAGTAAACACACTACATTCTCCTTCTCCTCTTAAGTTTTTTTATGTTACAGTTGACAGTTGAAGCAGAAATTACAGCAGTCTAATGTGGTTCTCCATGTATATAGAAGACATTTTTATGACAATTATAAATGGGTATAAAGGGAGGTAAGGTTTTACACTTTAATCAAACTGGTAATATGCCAACACTAGTAATATAATGTAATACCTAGAGCAGCCACTGATAAAAATTATACAAAGAGATACACTTAAAAACACTAGTAAATAAAATAGAATTCCAAAAAATGTTCAAGTAACCTACAGAAAGACAAGAAGGAAAATATGGGACAAAACAAAATGGAAGGCTTAACTCTAACATATCAGTAATTATATTAAATGTAAATTAAATGCAACATCAATTAATATAGATTGTCAGAGCAGATTTTTTAAAATTACCTACCTGTATGCTGTCCACCAGAAACTCTCTTCAAGTGTAACAATATAGCCAAGTTAAAAGTAAGATGGAAAAACACATCATGTAAGCATTAGCAAAAAGAAGGCAGCAGTGGCAATATTGATATCAGGTAAAGTAGACTTTAGGACAAAGAAAATTACCAGGGGCAGAGGCACATTGCAGAATGACAAAAATGTCAATCCTCTGAGAAGACATAACATTCCTAAATTTGTATTCATCACACAGAAGAGCTACAAAATATGTGAAGCAAAAGCTGATAAAACTGAAAGGAGAAGTAGACAAATCTGTGATTACTGTTGGAGACTTTTTAAATACCACTCTCTAGACAGGATCAGCAAACATGTAGGAGAACTCAGCCACACCATCAGCCAATAGGATCTATTCAACATTTGTAGAACCCTCCACCCAGCAACAGCAAAGGACACATGTTTTTCAAGCACTCAAGAAACACACACCAAGATAGACCACATCCTAAGCAAACTTCTCCAGATTTCAAAGAATTAAAATCATACAGAGTGTGTTCTCTGACCAAAATGTGACCAAACCAGAATGAATAACAGAAAAGTATCAGGCAAATCTACAAACACATGGAAACTAAACAACACAGTTCTAAATAATCCATAGGTGAAAGAGTCTCAAGGGGAATGAAAAAATACATTGGAATGTTAATTATATCTCATAAAGTTCTTTTTCAAAGTTATGGATCTTCATCTTTTAAAAGTATTTGAGGGCTTCCCTGGTGGCGCAGTGGTTGAGAGTCCGCCTGCCGATGCAGGGGACATGGGTTCGTGCCCCGGTCTGGGAAGATCCCACATGCCACGGAGCAGCTAGGCCCGTGAGCCATGGCCGCTGAGCTTGTGCGTCTGGAGCCTGTGCTCTGCAACGGGAGAGGCCACAACAGTGAGAGGCCCGCAAAAATAAATAAATAAATAAATAATATTTGAACAATGAAAATGAAAATAAAACATCAAAATTTGTGGGATGCAGCTAACATGTGCTCTAAGGGAAATGTATACACTAAATGTTTACGTTAGAAAAGACGAGAAGTCTCAAATCAGTTATCTAAGCTCCTATCTCAGGAACCTAGAGAAAGAAGAGCAAAATAAACCCAAAGCAAGGAGAAGGAAGGAAAAATAAAGAGCAGAAATCAGTGGAATTGAAAACAAAAATAATCGAGAAAATCAGTGATAATAAAAACCCAGCTGCTTGGAAAGATCAACAAAATTGACAGTCCTCTAGCAAGATTGTCAAAGGAAAGAAAGGACACAAATGATCAGTATCAGGAATTAAACAGCATATTCCTACAGACTCTACAGATATAAAAAAAAAAATTCTTAAGGAAATACTGTAAACAGTTCCAAACAAGTAAGTGTAATATTTAGGTAAAATGGACTAATTCCTCCAAAAATACAAACTGCCACAACTCACACAATGTGAAATACATTATTTGAGTAGCCCTATATAACTATTAAAGTGAATTCATAATTTAAAAGCTCCCCCCAAAATTAATCTTCAGGACAGATGGTTTTACTAGAGAATTCTACCCAGTGTTTTTTTAAGATTTTTTTTTTTGATGTGGACCATTTTTAAAGTCTTTATTGAATTTGTTACAATATTGCTTCTGTTTTATGTTTTTGTTTTTTGGCCCCAAGGCATGTGGGATCTTAGCTCCCTGACCAGGGATCGGACCCCGCACCCCCTGCATTGGAAGGGGAAGTCTTAACCACTGGACCGCCAGGGAAGTCCCTATCAGGTGTTTTAAGAAGAATTAACACCAATTCTATGCTCTCTCTTCTAGAAAATATAAAAGAAGGGAACATTCCCCAGTGAATTTTATGAGGCTAGAATTACCAAGATACCAAAGCCTAGCAAAGACAGAACTACAAAGAAAACTATGGATCAGTATCCCTCAGTCATGGCCAGCTGATTTTTGACCAAGGTGCAAAAGCAATTCGGTGGAGGAAGGATAGTCTTTTTAGCAAATGGTGCTGGAGCAATTAGGTATTCATAGGCCAAGATATGGACCTCAACCTCAGTCTCACATCTTATGCAAACATTAACTTAAAACAGACCATAGATTTAAATAGGGACATAAAAAATATAAAACTTCTAGGGAAAAAATAGGGGAAAGTCCTTGGGACCTGCAGCTCGGTGAAGAGTTACACATTACACCACAACTATGATCCATATAAGGAAAAAAATTCAATAAATTGGACTTCATCAAAACTTGCTCTGTGAAAGACCCTGATAAGAGGATAAAGATCTGTAGACTGGAAAAATGAACTGTTGTTACACACAGCAACTTGGATGGATCTCAAGGATATTTTGTTGAATGTAAAAAGCTAATCTCAAAAGGTCCATACTGTATGATTCCATTAATATAACATTTTCAAAATGGCAAAATTATACAGATGGGGGGCCTCCTGTTATTGGTTGCCAGGGATATAGGTGGTGGGAGAAGTGAGGGATGCATGTGGCTATAAGTAGTGGCTGGAAGGAGATCATTGTGCTGATGGAACAGTTCTGTGTCTTGATTGTGGTGGTGGTTACATGCATCTACACATGAGATAAAATGACATCGAACTACACATGCATGCTTTATACCAATATCAATTTCCTGATTTTGTTATTGTACCATTGTTAATAATGTAACTATTAGGGGAGACTGACTGGTAGGGTACATGTACTGTCTTTGCAACTTCTGAAATGTAGAATTTTAAATTTCAATATTTAAAAATGAAAAAATAAAAGAATGATAAAATCTTACAATTGGAAAGATTTTGGATGATCTCTGTCAAATTTTACTAAATTTCTCTGACAGCATCTTACTTAAAAGATGGATTTCACTTAAAAATGGAAAAGCCCAGAAAAGCACACACTATAAAGGAGGTTTGTCCAGTGTGGAGTCTTAAAGATAAAAATGAAGCATCAAAAGCAGAATATGCTGATAGTGGTAACTCAGAAACAGAAGATAAATTTTTTTAAGTTGTGGAATTTGGAGTATTTTTTTTCTTTAACCCTCCCCTCCCCTTAGTTTCATTTTCTAAAATATTTCTTTCATTACTTTTTAATATGCATTAGTAGGTACATAAATAGAACATCTTAGGAAAGGTAAGTTGTTACAGAGATTGGGAGGGGATTAAGGGAGACCTCATACAGGGACTGGTGAACTTACTATAAACACTGTAACCTTTGGTATCATTTGAGTTTTGCACCATTTAATTATCAAATATGTAGTTATCTGATTCCTTTAATATTTCATGTCTTAAACTTTAGGATTGTAAATAAACCAAAATATTGGTAATATAATACAATGTGTTCATCTTAATGTGTTTGAATACAGTGTGTTTGACCTTAGTCTGACAAGATTCATAGGGTTTTTTATACTCAAGGATTTTTTTTAAATCTCTGAAAATTTTGTATATCTAGTTAAAATAAGGGGATTCTCACTGTTTTCTTCTAAGGCAAGCTAATTCTACTATTAGAAAGTTGTTGTTGTTAGGAAGTGTTATCTGATTTTGAAACCAAAATATCTATCTTAAGTAATTGTGTACTTTTTTAAAAAAGAACAGAGTATTCCCTTGAATAAATGAGAATTAATTGTAGTGGTAACTTCTCTCATAATTTCAGGGGAATCAAAGAAGAAACCTAGAATCTACAGTATCTCAGATTGAGAAGGAGAAAATGTTGCTACAGCATAGAATTAATGAGTACCAAAGAAAAGCAGAACAGGAAAATGAGAAGAGGAGGAATGTAGAAAATGAAGGTAAATTGTTACTTCCTTTGAAAAACACTGGAATTTCTAACACTATCTTGAGGTCTTCGTCTTGGGGTTGTTTTAAATTTAGTGCCTGTTATATATTTTTGAAGCCACAGTCCTAAGACACCTCATGAGCTAAATACCCATGTCCCAAAATTTATTTATAACGTATTAAATTCAGTAGTAATGTTTTAGCTAGATTAGTGATTTTTATCCTTGTGTGTATATTGGAATTTCTTGGGAAACTTCAAAGAAAACTAATGCCTAAACTTCAGAAATTCTAATTTAATTGATCTAGACATGTAGACTGGGCATTGGTATTTTTAATAAGCTCTCTAGGCACTTCTAACAAGTAGCCACATTTTAGAACAACAAGACTAGAATTTTTGATATTAGTGTTACAAATTTAAAATAGCTTTCTACATCCTTTGATCCAGTGATTTCACTTCTAGAAATTTATTTCACATACACTTGTGCACATGTATACTGATATAGAAACAAAGCTATTCATTTTAGAATTGTTTAAAATGGCAAAAATTATAAACAATGTAAATGTAATCAGTGGTATAATAAATTTTAGTATATATGGTAGAATACTATGCATTTTATAAAAGAATAAAGTATCTCTTGGGCTTCCCTGGTGGCGCAGTGGTTAAGAATCTGCCTGCCAATGCAGGGGACATGGGTTCAAGCCCTGGTCTGGGAAGATCCCACATGCCGTGGAGCAGCTAAGCCCATGAGCCACAGCTACTGAGCCCACTTGCCACAACTACTGAAGCCCATGATCCTAGAGCGTGTGCTCCGCAACAAGAGAAGCCACCGCAATGAGAAGCCCGTGCACTGCAACGAAGAGCAGCCCAACTAGAGAAAAGCCCTCGCGCAACAATGAAGACCCAACGCAGCAATAAACAAATTAATTAATTTAAAAAAAAAAAAGAATTTAGGGCTTCCCTGGTGGTGCAGTGGTTGGGAGTCTGCCTGCCGATGCGGGGGGTGCAGGTTCATGCCCTGGTCCGGGAGGATCCCGCGTGCCATGGAGCGGCTGGGCCCATGAGCCATGGCCGCAGGGCCTGCGTGTCTGGAGCCTGTGCTCCGCGGCTGGGGGCGGGGGGCTACAACAGTGAGAGGCCCGTGTACTGCAAGAGGAAAAAAAAAAGAAAAGAATTTAAAAATATTTTTTAAAAAAGAATAAAGTATCTCTTTATAAACTGTTATAAAAGAATCTCTAAAATGTATCTTTACCGAAAAAAGTACAGATTGTTTAAAACAAGATCGCTTATCTGTGTATATTTGTGTGTGTGTGTGTAGATATGCATGTGAAAACGTATATATATTTGTGTTTTTATATATTAGGGTATGGATACACAGACTATCTTAGGAAGGATATGCAAGAAATTAGTAATAGCTGTTGCTGGGGAGGAGAGCCAGAGGGGCTGGGAGACGACGTGGAGGGAGAAAGACTCATGCTATACTATACACCATTTGGTACCTTTTGAATTTTGAAGCATTTTATTTATTTAGTTAGTTACATCTTTATTGGAGTATAATTGCTTTACAGTGTTGTGTTTCTGCTGTAGATCAGCTGTATGTATACATATATCCCCATCCCTCCTCCCCCGTGAGCCTCCTTCCTACCCTCCCTATACCATTCCTCTAGGTCATCACAAAGCATCGAGCTGATCTCTCTGTGCTATGCGGCTGCTTCCCACTAGCCATCCATTTTACATTTGGCAGTGTATATATGTCAATGCTACTCTCTCCCTTCGTCCCAGCTACCCCCCGCCACCCCACCCTGTGTCCTCAAGTTCATTCTGTATGTCTGTGTCTTTATTCCTGCCCTGCCACTAGTTGAACCATTTTAAAAATAATTGAACTAATCAAAGATTTGTACTATTCAAAAATAGGTAATATTAAAATTAGCTTTATATAATTTCACTAATAGATTAACCTTTATGAAAGGAATAAAAGAATTTAAAATATTACAGCAGTGGATACATCTGTTTTTTCATTCTGTACTATAAAACAGTGCTCTACTTTTTGATAAATTTAAAATGTAGGTACTTCCAAGTTGGAATATGGACCTAATATAGCTGACTTCTATGGCCTAAGACCAAATTTCATTTTTTAAAAGGGATTTATATGTTTCCTCTATGAAAATTTACATATTATTCCTTCATTTTCTAGTTTCTACATTAAAGGATCAGTTGGAAGACTTAAAGAAAGTCAGTCAGAATTCACACCTTGCTAATGAGAAGCTGGCACAGTTACAAAAGCAGGTAAGTTTTTGGAGTGACTTTTTTTTTTTTTAATCAAAATAAGTTTGTGTTTTTGTAAAAAACTATTTTCTTGCTCTCTTTTTTAATTAGCTAGAAGAAGCCAATGACTTACTTAGGACAGAATCAGACACAGCTGTAAGATTAAGGAAGAGTCACACTGAGATGAGCAAATCAATTACTCAGCTCGAGTCTCTGAATAGAGAATTGCAGGAGAGAAATAGAATTTTGGAGAATTCCAAGTCACAAATGGACAAGGATTATTACCAGCTACAAGCTGTATTAGAAGCTGAACGAAGAGACAGAGGTCATGATTCTGAGATGATTGGAGACCTACAAGGTAATATTTTTTCTTACTCTGGTAAAATAGACATAAAATTTACTGTTTTAGCCATTTTTAAGTATACAGTTCAGTGGCATAAAATACATTCACATTGTCATGCAACCATCACTACTGTCCATCTCCAGAACTTTTTTTATCATTCCAAACTAAAAAATCTATACCCATTAAATCTATACCCCATTTCCCACTCTCCCCAGCCCCTGGTAACCACCATTCTACTTTATGTCTCTATGAATTTGACTACCTCATAGAAGTTATTATTTATCCTTTTGTGTCTGTCTTATTCCAGTTAGCTTAATGTCTTCAAGATTCATCCATGTTGTGGCATGTATCAGAATTTCTTTCCTCTTCAAGGTTGTATACTGTTCCATTGTATTTATACCATATATACCACATTTTGTTTATCAATGGAAGGTAATTTTTTAAATTTATATATGTTTTTTAATTTATATTTTATTTTTAATTGTAGCTAAAAACATAAAAATTACCATCTTAATTTTTAAGTATATAAGGTAATATATTTTTGATCATGTTGTCCTCATAAAGAAAATGACCTTGGCCCCCATACACTGTTGATGAGAATGTAAATTGGTGCAGCCATTATGGAAATTGCCAAGATAGGGAAACAACCTAAATGTCCATCAACAGACGAAAGGATAAAGAAGATGTAGTATATATATACTACAGAGTATACTACTCAGCTATTAAAAAAAGAATGAAATTTTCCCATATGCAGCAACATGGATGGACTTGGAGAGCATTATGCTAAGTGAAATAAGTCAGAGAAAGACAAATACTGTATATCACTTATATGTGGAATCTAAAAAGTACAGCAAACTAGTGAATATAACAGAAAAGCAGGCTCACAGTTATAGAGAACAAACTAGTGGTTACCAGTGTGGGGAGGGGCAATTAAGAGGTACAAACTATTAGGTATAAAATAAGCTACAAGGATATATTGTACAACCTGGGGAATATAGCCAATATTTTATAATAGCTGTAAATGGAGTATAACCTTTAAAAATTATGAATTACTATATAGTACACCTGTAATTTATATAATATTGTACATCAGCTATACTTCAATAAAAAAGAAAGAAAATGACCTTGCTAATACTGGAAATGGTTAGCATTCTTTCTGTTTCAGGATAATTTGTATCAAATTGTAATTTCTTCACTCTCTCAGGCACCCTTGTGATGGAGGTAATGTGAATATTTCCAATTTTACAGCCAGTTACTGAAAAGTTAATTTTTAATTAATTTATTTTTTGGCTGCATTGGGCCTTTGTTGCTGTGCACGGGCTTTCTCTAGTTGCAGCGAGCGGGGCTACTCTTTGTTGCAGTGCCTTCTCTTGTGGAGCACGGGCTCTAGGCACACGGGCTTCAGTAGTTGTGGCTCGTGGGCTCTAGAGCACAGGCTCAGTAGTTGTGGCGTATGGGCTTAGTTGCTCTGTGGCATGTGGGATCTTCCCGGAGCAGGGATTGAACCCGAGTACCCTGCATTGGCAGGCGGATTCTTAACCACTGCACCACCTGGGAAGTCCCTGAAAACTTATTATTACTATTATTTTTTTTCAGTACGCAGGCCTCTCACTGTTGTGGCCTCTCCCATTGCGGAGCACAGGCTCCAGACGCACAGGCTCAGTGGCCATGGCTCACGGGCCCAGCCGTTCTGCGGCATGTGGGATCTTCCCAGACCAGGGCACAAACCCGTGTCCCCTGCATCGGCAGGCGGACTCCCAACCACTGCGCCACCAGGGAAGCCCTGAAAACTTAATTTTTAAAAGTGCCCAATTCACAAAAGTCTTACTCAAAGTGGAACTAACCAGGCAGAGAAGATTATCACTGTTAAAACCTGGGAATTCCTCATGCATTGTTGGTAGAAATAGAAATTAAACTGCAGAAAGGGAATCCCATTGCAAATAAAGAATTCGGTACTTGGAAAGGTTAGGACTAGAGATATCAGCAGGCTTTGTGGTCTAAAAGCTTCCTTTTAGACTCACAAACTGGTCATGGTAATAAAATCATTTTGTTTTCAACAAGATTCCTGGCTTCCACTTCTCACATTTTTTTCTGTTTCTGTCAGCATCAGCATCCATACTACCTAATCAAAACAGATATGCACAGAAGTTGCCAGATCTTTCAGGGAAAAGTAGGGGGTGGGATAGTCCATTTTAACCTAAGTCACAGGATGTGAACATAGTTTGGGGTCTCATGGGGCTTGATGATTAGCTGTAATTCTGTGGAGAGAGGTCGGGGTCAGTTTTTGGACTTTGGAAACAGAAATTAGGATCTCCCATTGGTTCTTAGCTGAGGAGTGTTCTGCAGTCTTATTTCTCAGGGACTAGGCTTAAAATAGATCTGAATATAACCAAGAAAGTATCCTCATTATATGTATTAGAAAAGCCTCATACTCCACTTCCTTAAATTGCTTCTCTAGGCCTCTTCATATACAGCTTATGAGCTGTGTGCAGGTCACTTCTTCTGCTTTATTTATAAACCAAGAAGATTAGGTGACCCCTATAAATTCTTTCAATTCTAAAATTCTTTAAGTCTGTGATTTTCCAGATAACGCTGAGCTTGAAGTGCTTGCTTTCGAGGACGAGACCATCATTATGTGTTCATCAACGATGGTTTTTTTTGTTTTTTTTTTTTTGCGGTACACAGGCCTCTCACTGTTGTGGCCTCTCCCGTTGCGGAGCACAGGCTCCGGACGCGCAGGCT